AAAAGAGAACATCATCCTGTTGAGTTCTCCTCTTACACCAAGGGTAACAGCTAGAACAACCATATAATAAACCAAAACACACACAGAAAAGACCAGACAGAAGAAAGCAGCTAAACAGATGCATCCAGCAGTGCTGAGTTTTCTATTTTTCCGTTCCTCCGCCCTGCCACGAGGCAGGCCAAGAACAGCTCTATGACCCTAAGCATGCTATACTCAGGCAAACCCTTGCACCACCAATAACTCGGGAGCACTCATCACTCCTCATCACTTACTCCATGACTCAAGACCTGCCCCTTCTGGGATTTCCTTGAAGTCATTCTTCACGTTACAGCAGTTTCAGCAAGTCAGCAAGAAGTGTGAAGTGGTGGGTCGTGAACATGTGGGGTATGCATCCATGAAGTTAAACACTGAGACAGCTTCAGCAAAATTAAAGAGAATCTCCAATGCATTACGGAGCAACACTGCATTCTTCTGAATGAGCCACACAATCTGGCAGTGCTCCCTCCAACATCAATATCAATTTCCTCCATCAACAGGAGACAGAATAATAGCAACTTCCTCTATATAATACAGCCCTTAATTGTCCCAGATCAAATACTGGCTCCCAGAGGCTATTCATTCTGCTCTACAGGTAACCACATCCTAGACAAGATGCAACAACTTTTATCAGCAAATATTAAACGCTGCAGGAAGCCCAGAAGGCGCATATGGAGACTGCTAACAGCATTCATCTACCACATCACTGCACTGGCTCTAACGAACACACAAACCACTGCTGAGAGAAACATGGATATTCTGGCAACCAGAAAACACTTGCAAGCTCTTCCTCATCTGAGAGGCAGCAAATCCATACAACCACTGCCAGATCAGGTTTCCCCTCCCCACCCCGTATCAGCTCCACAACATCTCTGATCTCCCTCCTAATGGCAAAGTCTTCATTGATTTCAACCAAACTCATCAAGACCTAGCAGAAAACAAACTACAGAGGGAAATGTCAAGTGAGTCATTAGTGGGTAGAGAAGGGAACTGTGTAGTAAGTAGTCTTCAACATACTTTTCTTCCTTTAAAATAAATGATGCCACAAATTGAGGTAATCCTTTGACATTAGTGCAGCTGCAGCAATAACGAGCCCTGCACAGTCTGCAGGAGTGGGGAATTCCTCCACTCAAAGGGGTTACTTACGCCAAATGCCAATAAATACTCAGGTAAAATTAACCTGCTTGTTTGGTAACCTCTAGATGGGAGTTCAGAACTTAAACACAAAAGCAGACCCAAACAGAGAGAAGCAAGCAAACTAGCACCAAAACTGAAGATTTTCCCCAACTTCAAAAAAGCTAAGGAAATTCCTTTATTTTTTCATCTTTTGGCTGCTATTGCCAACATTATGACCTTTGTGTTGAGTAGGTGCCCAGATACTGAAGCAGGAGGAGAATGTATTTCCCATCATCATCAGGAGCAGGCATGGTCCGGCTACCTTTCTCTGTTACAGCACAAATACGAGTTCTTTTGAACATCCTTTGGTGTGTACTTCCACGCATACATCTTTTTGATTCGATTTGCCCGCGGTTACCACAACACAGCCCTTTTTCCTAGGGCTGGTTACTACAGCAACAGAATCTGTTTGAGTTTAGTAGCAAGACATTGCAGGCATTAGAAAATCTGTAATTAGTTCAAGAAACATGAAACTACACGTCAGCAGCCTATGCCACACAGATAGATATCTTCATGTAGTATCTCACTTCGTCTCTTTATGAAACTCCATGAATCCCCACATCCTTGGCAGAGCACAAGCCTGAGCAACCTCTGCCTTCAAAGGATGCAGAACAGAGGTCCACTGTCCACTGTCTCCCGTGTGCCTGTCACTGCAGAGAAACCACCAGCCAGATTTGATGAACTTCATGGCCAGAAATATAATATATTTCACAGATGCTATTACTTGCACTAGTCGTTAAAGCCAAAGTTTCACTTTAAATTCTTCTGCACACACTTATCAGTACTAATACAAAAAGAAGGTTGGGGTGTGTGTGTGCACGTGTGTGTGTCTTGTGATGGGTTTTTGTTTGTTTGGTTTTTTAAAACTAGAGGACTCTTCCTGTACTGTCATTTCACTGCAAAGAGACTATATTAGATATTACATTAAGTTACTCCACTTAACTCTTGTACAACTTGGAAGGAAAAAAACCCACAAGTCTCAGTGCACAGAGCTATTTCTATCTAATTCACTGCCTTGGGACACAAGAGGGTTTTTACTGCAGCAGGTGAACAAGCGCTAGTACTTAGCTGTCAGGTAAGAGACTGCTTCTTCCCCCCCAGCTACAATACAGTTCAAATGCAGCACGTACGTACTCAACATTGGCAATACACTAAAGAGAGCACAGACTGGTCAATCTGATCTTTTCTCAGCCACAGCCAGCTATGATCAAACGTTCAGCCAGACTATTACTTCTGTTATTAATTAGTTTCTATCCTGAGAGAACAACCTATGCCAGATTTGCTCCTAATTTAAACTGAGGGAACTTACCCAAAAATGTTCTATCCTGTCACACACAGTGTAGCCCCTACTGAGTGAGTATGCTATTATGAGAAAGCAAACTGATATAAATATAGCACAGTGACAGTACACACTCTGCAGTTATTTCCTCTGCAAAACAGAGAATGAAGTGAGCCGCTCAGCCAGCTTTCTGCTAAGGCCACTGAAAATTGCATTCATGACATCAACAACAATAATCAGTTAAAGACAAATCTGAGCAAATAATTCTCAAACAACTTTTTGAAGTGAGGAATTTGACCTCCTCTCAAGTATTCACAAACCTGACAAGACACATACATTTCTACCAGCTTCTTCTCCATTTGTATTCATTCATAGAATAGATTTTTTTCCTGTAATTTTCTCCTGTTAGCTTTTATTTTTACTAGCTAAATTGATTGCAGGTTGATGTAAGAATGAATCATCCCACATCTGATAACCTACTTGTGATGGATAGGCTAGGACAGGGCAGATATTAAACTTCATTGTTGGTATGGCTGATTGGTTGAGCGTGCATACACGTGCACTCTCCGCAACCCATAATTCATATGTAGAAATTCAGATTGATTTTCATAGCTAAAGCCAATAAAGCAAAACAACCCCAAAAACGCTTGGATTTTTTTTTAAGACACTACGTGTAGAGAGGAACATGGTTAGAAGCATATATTTGAAGGGAAAATAATGAAGCACCATATAGTAAGCAGAAATCATTTTTTGGCAGTATTTTACCAGCTACAGACGAACTGCCAACTTTAAAGAAGTTATTTTAGCATACAAGATGAATGTATCTCAGGAACAAAAAGAATCACTCTTCCTAATCCTCCTCTCATGCACCCTCCTCAATCCTGTTCTCAGACATGAAGCACTGCTTAAAAAATGCCCATGGAACAGACCGAAAGAAGTTGCTGCTTCTCTATAAAAGTTATTTATAATAGATAATCTTAGAATCACTCTTAATTCCAGCTCATCATTTATGGTGTTGGCAAAGTTGCTCCAGTGAATTTAGTCTCATTATTCACCTTCGGGTTGTACGGTATCTTGTATTTTATGTATCATCCTGCTTTATCCAGTGGATCCTTCACAAGCACTTACAGAACCAAGTGAAGGCAAATAATGACTCAAGGACAAAGCTAAATGCTGAAACACCATGATTTTATGGCCAGTTACAGGAAAACACACACTTGGAATATGCAGAAAAACCTCTTTAAGTATCAATACATCCAGGAATGCCATAGCATGCTGTATAGCTAGTCTTTCCAACAGGACTCTGCACTATCGCAAGACACTGAACACCATTCAGAAAGCCAGTAGGACTGCTCAGCTTTGCTGTCTATGGTCATACCACAGCTGCATGCAGTTACTCTTGTAACTTGATAAAAATATCTTTCCCCCTCAAAAAAAACCAAAAAAAAAACTAAAAAACCAAAACACCCAACCCACACCAAAAAAAACCAAACCAAAACAGAATGGGATCATCCATTCAGTTGAAAGTCATGTCGTCAAGACAGGGATGATGGGACAAGTGCAGAGTTTTGGTCACTAGAAACTATACTATCAAGTGCAGAAGGATCACATTAATGGCAGCACACACTTCACTGATTTATTACATTGGAGCCATTTATCTAGCGACATGTCCTGCAGAAAGGAGGATAAGCCAAGCTGCTAAGTTTTTTCAGAGAATAACTTCGTCCGCAACATCCTCTTTAAACCTGCTGGAGAGGGTACTACTGCTGAAACCCATGAGCACTTTACTGCCATAACAGAGATGCTTCACTGGGTAACTGAAGCCGAATTTTGTATCTTAACCAGCTGGAAGTATTTTGCAACATGATCACCAGAATAATGAGTTATACTTCAGCCTCACTGTATCTCAAAATAGACCTCACCAGCTTCCGCATCCCATTACAACGATCACATTATCTGGGGTCCTGCCACAGCATGTGGGGGTCACATCACCCACTCCGTAACAGGCACTTCCTTGCTATAAAGTGTGACAGCGGTAGTGACAAGATATGCATCTCCTCCCAGTCTCCTTATACTGCAATGATCACTCGGACACAGACAAATGCTTTGGAAGAGGAAGGGAACGAGGGTATCTTGGGGGGGGGAGGGGGGGGGAAAATCATCATATATGCCACTTGGAAATTCTTCAGCTAAAACTCAGCCATAAGCCACCAATATCAGAATTTAAAGCAATCTGGGCAAACACAATAAGAAGGAGTGAGCATCTTCCTAGTCATCCAGTAATCACCATGGCTGTCAACCTTTACCATTGCTACAATATAAGCAAACACCACTGTGCTGCTTACAACTGCTTGATGTAGAGATCCATGCCAAGTTACCTTCACAAGCATAGAAGCACATGGAGAAGAAGCCCCAACACATCCCTTCCACCGGCATCAAACAGAAAACAAGAGCAAGATGCCAGCCCACAAGGAAAGCCTTCAGTGAGAAGAAGTTCAGAGAGCCTTACCTATGTACAGGGAGGAATCTTTCCGCCTCACGTGGTCATCAATATAGGAAACTCCCAGGGGCTGGACAGGGGTAGCACCAATGCCCAGGAGGACCTGTGCTCCAATGAGCAGCAAGTACATCATGTTGGTAGCAGTCCTATTCCTGCAGATAAGGTCCGGGTCTGGTCCCTCATCACTGGTGGACCCATTGGCAGCACACACATCCCTCCCTTCAGCCCCCCAGCGTATTTCTCCCGATTCATATTCATACTGGTGGGTCAGAAATTCAGGCAATGCAGAAAGGAGGGCACCCAAGGCCATGACTATCCCTCCACATCCTATCAAGCGTGGCCGGTGCCCCCGGGCTCCAAAGTAGCTCACGAAGAGGATGAGGGCCAGGTTGCCAATCTCGAAGCTGCTGGCAATGACGCCCACGTCAGCACTCTGCAGGTTGAATCGCCGCTCCAAGGTGGTTAAAACACTCACCTACAAAAGAGAAATCCAGAGAAAAATTACTGAAAGGGAATACAACCTGCCTTCTCTCCTCTCCATATGTCCTGCTAAAGTATAAGTTTCCTCGACTTTCCCTTGGAGCCAAAAACGTACACATCAAGGATATCCAAATGACAGTATAGTTGTAGTTGACCTCCAAGCATGATCTGACTATTCAAATACAGCCACGTCAGAAGGTCCTAATACCAAGTGACATTTCACAGCCTACCACCTGTCTGAGCACATGTTCACTTCCAAATTCCCGCATACATCAATGTATATTTTGGGTGCCTGCAGATACCCATGACTCCATCACTGGTTAGCCCTCTCTTTGGGCTCCCTTTCTATTTGAATGCACAACCTTCACATTGCAAACACAGTCCCACAGAACCAAGGCACAAACCACACCAAGCCTCACATCATGTCGGGCACCCAAATCTTTCTCGGAATGAATCGCATTGAGCGGCAGAAAACCTTGCGGATACTTGGCTCACACACCAGCACAAGGCCATCAAGTCAGAGACAGTGATGCACAAACAGGCAGTCTGGCTAGCGTAGAAGGCTTCTATTAAAGTTTATAAATAAAATGCTGATCAAAGGGTTTAAACTGTTTGTGGATTAGTCAATGACTGGGATCATTACTTCCAGAATATTTTTGAGAAGACAGGTCAGTTAGGGTTTACATAGAAGATTTAAATCCACCACAAAGAAGGGAAGATTTAACAAACAGTGGTTATTTAACGCTAAGAAGAAAGTAACACATGAGTAGTCTTCAAATATTTAACGTTACTGTGAAAAGGAATGACCTGTTCTGTGTATTCAAAATGAGCAGGACAAGAAGTGACAGGTTTAAACTGCAGCAGAGATGATTCAGGTTAAATACAAGGTGGGGAGAAACTAGACTTCTACTGGTAAGGGTTGTGAAGCACTGAAATATGCTGCCTGGAGAGGCTGCAGAGGTCTTCGAAAGAGCACAGACCAGCATCTGTCAGGAAAGACACAGGTATGACTGATCTTGCCACAGGGCAGGAAAATGAACCAGATCATCTCTTAAGAGCTCTTCCAGTCTTGATTACATGGTGCAACGAAACACAACATAGATTTTCTGCAACAGTCATAGCACTGATCAGAGTATGAAGATGAAACATTAGGTACCTCACTTGCTGTCATCCCTGCTCAAGGGAGAAAACTCAGAGTATTCTCATGTCTACAGCAGTCTTCCCCTTATACAGGAAAAAAAATAAAAGAAATCTTGAACGTGTCACAGAAATGCCAAAAACTTTTACCTTGGATAAAAGACTATCTTGTTTTTCGGATTGCAAAAGCTGAAGTTACTTAAGGTTGTCCTAAAACAGGCAGGTTTCTCTATTCAAAAAAAAAAAAAAAAAAGAAAGAGTGATAAAGACCTCAGACCAGAAGGTAGCCCCTGGATAGAATAAAAATAGCCTCCCACTGGAGGCACTGAAAATCTTTGCTGATAAACCTCACAAAGCAGGAGCCAGTCTGACCGACTTTAAAGTATTCTGACAGCAGCTCTTCTCCGGGGGCAGTGAGCCTCTGTTAGGGTACACCAGGGCACAGTTGGACAAATACAGACCCATCGGCAACAAAATGGAAAAATGGAAACAACCCACTTCTGCTGCTTTGCATAAGCAAAAGCTCCCAAACCTGACCCTGATAAGTGTCCAAGTCAGATCTCCAAAACTGGACTGTGTTCCTGACTCCTGAAAATTCAGCCTTTATCCCATACAGGCACTCATTTTGTACTACCACTGTAAACCTCCCTCACTAAAGAGCCAAGAACTGAGCAAGGAAGGGTGGGGGGGAAATCAACCAACAAAAAAACACCAAAACACCAAACTAAAAATCAAACCCTATGACTGAAGGCAATGCAATAGCACTAATTCTTCCCCATGCCAAAGCCAAGTGAAGTTGTACACAACAGAGGGAGAAGAGATCACCACTTCATCTGTAACACCAGGTGCAGGCTCCTGTTGGGATGGAAGGGCTCTGTGATTCACCAGGGGAAAGGATGTTCTCTTCTGCAAGGGCACAGCACAGCCCGTCCCCCTCCAGCGACCTTGGCCACGTTGCTGGGCAAGCAGTGCTTGAGCACACGTTTACCAGGAACACCACTGTTTCCAACCCTCCATGGGAGCCAGGGCGAGAGACCTGAGCAGATGGGGACAAACACTGCTAGAAAACACTATGTTGGTATTTTCAAAGCAAGGCACACCAAGCTGGAGGGATACTGACAATATCCCATTGCCCCAGGCAGCCTCACCAGGCACTCCTGTGACAGAGCTACATTTGTGATCCAAAACACAGGACTGGTTTTATTGCAAGGTGTGATCTAATGAGGTTGGTGCAGTCAGACTTGCAGGACTCCAGACTTCAACACCACACAGCAAACACCAACAAACTCCAAGCGATGCAAAGCCCCTGCTATGGGAGCCCTCCTTCATGCTACCATCTCCAGCACATCCCTAGAGGAACTCAGCTATTGCTGAAGTCCCACAAACACAAATTTTGGCAGAATGGGGAATCTCTCGAAGATGAGTATATAACTCTGAGTATGAAAAATCATGTCTACAGTGCTCATTTCTGAGCTGCACCTAGATAGGAAACTCATAATTACTCATTACAGCTGTGTAAACTGAGGCATAGAGAGCCAAATATTAATGAGACAACTACCGACAACAAAATTAATTTGTGATGGAATAATTTAGGCTGGAAGATTGAAAGCCAACAGAAGCGATTCCCCAAGGCCAATTGGTATTAACTAGCCTTGGAAGTCTCTCCCACATTTTGACCTGGCTGCCAAATTTTAGGCTTTTACCATACATATATACAAGTGGCTAGAAAGCAGGATGGTATTTAGAAACACTTGGGTGTCATACATTACAAGGGTCAGATTTTGGACAGCTGGATTTCAGATAAAAAACTGCACCATTTCTAAGTGCAATTCACAGTGACAGAGACAGTAAATTGATGGCAAACCTGGGAACTAAAACCAGAAGTCCCAATCCTTATTCTGCTCTTATTTCAGTGGGACTTCAGTTGTTCTCTTCATTTTTACAAAAGCTAAACCACTCACAATAGGGAAACAGAGTCTTACCATCCCCTAACAGTTTGTTGCTTTGCTTTAGCAAAGAGACTGAAACAAAAGGAGAAGGAAGATGACACAAAGCAAACTCCAATCCTCCTGATAAAAGCTGGCAAGAGTTTTCCTTATTCCTCTGGCCAGACCTCACTACGTTTCCCAGCTTGCTCCTTCTGGCTGCAGCACTGCCACCCAGTGCTACCAGCTCTGCCTTTATTAAGTGGGGTATGGGGTGCAGGGGGGGGTACAGCGAAAGAACAAAACCATCACATCAGCCTTGAGCATCCAGAGGAAAACAGCATCCAAATACAAAGTGCTGAGACCAGCAGAGTAGCCTCCAAAACACTGATGGTTATGAGGAGCTGGGGGGGAGGGAATAGCCCAAAATAAAAATAGGTCTGGGAAATAAACTGTCAACATGCAGATTTTTAGCCAGAGAACACCAGGAACACAACTGCATTACACCCAGGGCGGTTGCAGCCCAGATAGCACAGCCCAAATTCTTGCTTTGACATTGGCTGTGACCTTAAACACACAGGCCAACTACAAAATCGGCATTAGCGCAGCAGAGATGTTACCTGCATTCATTCAAAACAAAACTCTGCCCATGGCTAGAATCATTCTCCCATCCTCCTCTATATCCCACCTTTATGGGGCTTCCTGCATATAAGGTGTAACCGGACTAAATACTCGCAGTTTGCATGTGGGATGCTCCCGGTGCCCTTGTAACTAAAAGAGCACTGTACTGCCTGTATTTCCTTTCGCAAGCCTGCTCCCCCAGCAGATAAGCCAGCACCACTCCTAGACACTAACTCTATTAATCCAGAGTTACACAAAATGTTTCAAAAGACACGACAGGTCCCTGTAAAATACTGACGTCATGTGAAAAGGCTGCAAGGATTATAAAGAGTCCCTGTGTGCTGAAACCAGGTTGATCATGCAAGAGTGCGGCCCATGTGGCATAGTGCTGGAGAGAGGGGATTGCCAAAAATACATGTCTTACCTCGACCAGGACTGTGGTGTGCTGTTTCTCTTGCTGCATGGTGTATACCCTTTTCTATTCAGGGTTTCAAAAGACATGACAGGTCCCTGTAAAATACTGACGTCATGTGAAAAGGCTGCAAGGATTATAAAGAGTCCCTGTGTGCTGAAACCAGGTTGATCATGCAAGAGTGCAGCCCATGTGGATGCTGGTTTAATAGCAGGGACACGGGGAATGGAGTGGTGTGGCAGCACAAAGGCTTCAGATGGACAACCTCCTGCTAAAACACAGTGGGAAACACCAGGAGCTCATGTTATTAGCTGTGAAGCTGCTATTTCCTGGCTCCTGTCAGTTTACACAGCTGTTTTGCCAGGGCTGGAAGGAATAGATGAAGAGGATATTCAGTTAAAAAAGTTGAAAACAGTTATCAGGAAGCTATTACAACATCCAGTAAAATTCATGCAGACAAGATACATGCAAGACTTGCGGTTTGATCCCAAAAAGTTACCGGTGTGAAACCACCTCCTGGACCAGACAAATCCAGAGAAGGCAGGAGGGGACAGAGGTAGAGACAGCATCGTAATCATGGCAAATGCCAGTGCCCATGATATTGGGAATGGCACTGAAGTTACAGCTTCCTATCGGTATACACCTGTGCTAAACAGAGCTATACCTTGCCCGCTACTCTTGTGTCCTCGTGTCTGTCCTGCAGATCAGTCCTTAGCAGGTCATTGAGGCTCTGACCAGCAAAGTACTCCAGCTGGAGCACTGTACACAGCCCTCAATCACACCAGCCTCACTGCATTTTTCCATGTCTCAAGGCCTCCACCACCTCCTTTGACAGGAACTGCCTTTCTGTCTCTAACTGCAGCCTCTGTCTCCAGTGGGATTCCCTTTTCACCCACTCCAGACATCCCCCACCTGGTTTTTAAGAGCAGCTCCACTAAGATTTAGCTATGGCATTAGAGAGATCAACAGAACTGTGTGGCTGTTGTTACTCTACAAGTTCATGCTCCTCCAGACTAAGTCTACACCAGGTCAGTCAACTGGACCACCGTGAACTAAATCAGGTTGGGCTGTGCATCTTGCTCAGGCAGAAAGCAGGCTCAGGATCTAGAAAGATCACATAGCCCAGCCTTCTGCCTTTCTGTGAACACGCTGCCTAACGTACAATAACAAGAAGTAATTAAAACTTGCGCTATCTCCTTTTCTTACAGAGCCATAGAAGTCTGCACACACGCATTTGTCTCGGGAGATTTCAAAGATTAACCTTAAAAGGACCCAGGCTAAAGGGGCCTCCTTAGTCCACCCTAAAACACTCTTCAATGATTGAAAAAGGAAAATGATCTCACATAATGTACACAGTGATAAGTGACCCACATAAAAAAAAAAAGAAATCAATCACCACCTTAAGATTTTCCAGCCAAAGCAACTTATATTGCAACCCCTGTGACTAAATCCAGGGAAGCTTTTGCCATGCCATTCTGGACTTACTTCAATAATACATGCTCACATTCATCATTCCTGTCTGTCCCAATTCTATAGACCTTGGCGTTTCTGAACCAAAGTAAATTTGTTCTCTCTATAGGCTGTTTATTTTATATTAATGCTCAGCAAAAATGCAACCCACAAACCTGCTTCACACTGTTGCCCCACTTTATCACTAAGAAATGAACTGAAGGCTGGGGGCACCATTATGGAGTCAGAGACACAGTGCATTGAAAATGAGTATCATATTGTTCGTATCTCCAATGATCAAGTCATATTCACCCACAGAGTCTACAGATAAGTTCATTGTATTAATAATACAGGGTTATATATAGAAAACACATTGACTTTATGCCTGAAGGGCCTTTTTAAAGGGCTTCTTTTTAATGTAAAATACATATTCTCAGTTATGTGGTAAGAGATTGGACTTGAAGAGACACGTCTGCAGTGCTACAGGGTGTAAAATAATTGCCTGGCAACTATGTTCCCAAAGGAAAATAAACGCAAACCATCTCCCACAGTCTCTGTTACAGAGCTGGGAAACATAAAATTCCTCGAAGAACCAAAGTGACCATCCCAGAAACAAAGCCACTGCTTCCACACACCTCCACCCACTTCTTCAGGTATCACCTCCTCCTCTCTTCCAGCAGCCAGGCGGGATAGGGCAAAGGGCATCACACAGTTGGAGCTAAGTTCTCCTCCCCACAGAGCTGGTACCCATGGGCTCAGCCCTCCCTTGCCACCCACCCTCCCAGCTGATGGGACAGCCATCAGGCTTGGGCTTCAAGCCCAAGGGAACGATGTGATTCTCTGGCTCTGATGTTTTACTGCTCCGTAATTCCAATGTTGAGATGATCACTTGTGGTTGAGCCCAGTTTTTTAAAATGCAGACAATTCCCTTGGCATTTTGCCCACTCCTTCCCTATCAGACGGCTGGAAGGAGGGCAACAAGTTTAATAGCCTTTGCCAGCGCCAGGCATGAGCATTCCTTGCTGCTCCCCACCCTGCCAAAATAGTGAGGGCACCAGGACCTCCCACCTCAGGCTGCTGATCATTTGTTTCAACACCATTCCCAGCCCAATGAAGTCAGTGGAAACTTCAAAGATGTTCTCACCACAGATGCTGACACCCGTTCTGGCTTTCGGCACACGAACATAAGGGAAAGCAAAAAAGGGTGGTGATACAAACACACCCAAGCTGGCTCTGCTCAAGGTCTGGAAATCATCTCTGCATAGAAATTTGCATTCACATGACAGGGATAATAGACGCTGCAGCTGAACCACTGCTGAGAAGTAGGGTGTTATTAGCTTGGCTGTTGCTGCATGTGCCTGTGCCGTTTCTAGGCCAGGACTTGAGAATCTGCAAATTTACTGTACTGGTGCCACAAGGAGTTTGCAGCTCAGATCTATGCCTCACTGGTGTGAAAAATTCATTTTATATTCTACTGACCAGCTCTGAGATTACTGACACAGTCTAAATTAAGCACACATTCAAGGTCAGGATTTTCAGGGGCCTGAATAGAAAAGGGTATACACCATGCAGCAAGAGAAACAGCACACCACAGTCCTGGTCGAGGTAAGACATGTATTTTTGGCAATCCCCTCTCTCCAGCACTATGCAGAAAACTTTTGTGCCATCTTTTGTACCCCACTGTGCGTCTCCTCCCCACATTTCAGTAGTCGCAGCATCCTGTGCCACTTGCCCTCAGCCAACGCAGGGCACAAAGCAAGCGTACCTAGGTTACACAGCTGTACCACAAACACCCACAGCAATGCTATATGCTGTTGCAGATTGCAAACAGAGGAAAGAGCAGTCGGCACCCACAGAAGATATCCTGTTTGGTCAGGAGTTGATACATCAGTGCAAAGCCACAGTTTGTTTCAAAATAGCTTAAACCAGTAAAAAAGTCACACGCCTCTGGAAGTTAAACGAGTGTATTTTCCACTACTCTAGTGAAACTGGGATCCACACTGATCAAATATGCAACATAAAAACCTAACCTCTAATCTAGCCAACCTTTGCAGCAAACAGCAGTGCAGCTGAGCTGTCTTTATGTTCCTCACTCGCTTCCTAAGGATCCTGCATGGGACACAAGGAACTGACCCCCTTCCCCTGCCTCCCCTGAGGAAGAAAGAGCACTGCCCCATTTACAGTGCTGTGAACAAAAAGATCTTTGGGGTGTTATTTGCAACCAACCCCCTCACATCCATCATGGAAACTTAGTGTGAGTCACCGACAGCTCAAAATAGACCCAGGTACAGAGCATCAGACCACACCGAACTTCCTAGAAAAACTTGAAAGGCTTTTTCTGTTGCTCTGAACCAGATGTGCACCACGGCTGAGATCTGCATTTTTTTTTAAACCTTCTGAAGTCCCAACCTGTGGTGATATTATCACAACTGCAGACTGAGCGTCCACACAAGCTCTCTGCGTCCAAGTCTGCTGTTCAAGATTCACCTCACTGTGTGAAGGCAGGTGATATTTTAGTCTCTGACAAGGTATCTACATAAATACATCCACTGCCAGAATCCATTTGTAGCCTACACTGCTCTTTAGTAGCGCACATACAACGAAGCTACTGGATATTTAAATCCTTATTTATTTTTAAGTGTTATGTCATTTTCACTGGCAGCAAAATAACGCATCATAAGCATGCAAAGAAGCATAAAGCTCAATGCTGTAACTGCATTTTTCGCGTGCGTTAAAAACCGCAGCACAGGACAGTGCTGCCGGCACATTTCAAACCCAGAGGATGACAAATTCTGTGTGGAATAAGCGCACAGCAGCAGGGGCTCATGAGCAGAGGCAATCACTTGCCTCTCTCAAAGTAAACAGCCAAGGGAAAGCAGTCGGAGCATCTTGGACACATTCAGAGATGGATGTCTTTTTTCCTGTGGCCAGCAAGTAGGTGTACAAAGCCAGATGAAGAGGAATTTAAACTGTACATAACTCAAATGTGGGTTCCTACAGCATCAAAGGCACTCTTGGCCGTATACAGGACTGGCAACAAGATTCATACATGGGTCTGGGACTCTGCAAACAGGGCACCATCACCCTGGCTTTATTTCCCATGGAGGAGAAGAGATGAAACCTGTATCTCCAGAGGACTGTTAACATGAAAAAAGCCCCTTCCTATGTACTATTGAAGTACTGGAGAGGTGGATCCGAAGCTGTCACACTGCAACACCCTCACCTCTCCACCTCCAAGTCAATGCAAGTTTGCTTGTCTATCTAATAAAACACTTCCTAACACAACACTTACGCCTGCAGAGAAGGTTTTCTACCACAAACAGGGCTACTTACCACAGCAGAAACCATAATGCAAGCCTGACAAGAAAACCTGTCATGAAAGACTTCATGTTATCTTAATTTATAATCAAGAGCTGAATTCAGGGTTAAGGGCTGCATCCAAGTTACGCCACAGCACAGATCAGGAAGGGAGGCTCGCGGAGCTGGTTGCAGAAGTATTCCCAGCTGCCAGGCATGAACCAGGGCAGAAATGACACAGGCAGGACACTCTGAAGCAGCATTAATAAAAGCTTTGATGGAAGCCAAATTGAGTTTTCACGGTT